TGTATTGTAGAGATAGCTCAGGATATCAACCCAGCCTATGCATTGATATGTGCTTCCAGAACTTTTAAATCTATGGTACCTAGCAGTATTGCCTTGGGATTCCCTAGAATAAGCTGCTGGTAGATGGAAAGACTTCTAGGTTTCCCTCATGGATCTCTTACGTACACAAAGCATGTAAGTGGAAGGCAATGAACGGACGGATTTCCCATATCCAACAACTAATGGTCAAAGCCGTTGGGTAGTGTGAGCTGTGAAGAAAAATGCTGTAAGAAACATTGCTTCTTTATCTTATTTAGCTGGAAAAGCTTTTCCAAGTCTGTAGATTATCTTAAGATCTACAACTGCTTTGTGTGTTGAAAAGAAGAAAAGAAAAACATCTCTGGTGTGCAGCATTTGACCCTCAATAATCCTAATATTTAACATAAAGTAAGCTCTCAGACTGCAGAGACCAAAACTACTTTTCTCTTGCTCTTTTTCTGTGTCTTTAATGTTAAATCCCTGCATTGTCTTGGTTATTTAAGGATTCCGGGGGAGAATTGCAGCAGTTCATGAACCTGTCTGATGAAAAAGAGGATGTTAATATGGTCTCGTAAGGAAGCAGGAAGACAAAAAGCAGCAATCTCAAGGTGACCCCGACAAACCTCCATAAATATTTTATTAAAGCCTGAAAAACTCCTGCCACAAAGCTTCAGTCTTGTTAACATGCATACACATGTTCTTTTGGACACCAAAAATCCTGAACATTTTTAGACACATTAAGTGACACATTTCCCTGCTTTTCTTTGGGGCTCCCGGTGGGTCGACTTCATTATCTGCTTCTCCCTGAAAGGCTTAACTTGCTGCAGAGCTCCGACTGGTGCAGTAGGTTTCACTGACACCGGGAAAGAAATGCCTTTGGCGTTTCAAAGTGATGCATGACTTCCCTTTTTATTTCTGTCTCCACTTTTAATCTCTGAAAATCACAGACTGTCAGTCAGCATTTAGTCCTCCTCCAACTTGACCAGAAAATGTCAAATCTGCAAAAAATAGAGTAAAAACCCGATGTGCTCCCAAAAAAATTATGAGGGTTTCTGGGATCTTCATATCAGACTGAATCTGTTTGGCTGGTGGTTCAGACAGAATACAAATGATTTGTAATTTTCTTTGACATAAATAGGATTTAGAAACACAGTCTGCTTTGAGTTTAAACCTTTTCAACTTATCTAGAGCTATAGGGGTTCTTATATGTGAACAAAATTAGAAAATAAAAGAATGGATTCATTTTCAGGCAGCTTAGCCATTAACATACACACCATACTGGGCGTCCACCACCATCCATGTGAATGCTGGCTAATTGCTGATAATAGCAATTATGTTTCAGGGAAACAGTAATTATACTGCTCTACTTTTACAATAATATATACTTTGACACTTAAAAATAAAGTAATATTGATAGCCAGTATACATTGGCACATTATAATTAGGTAAAATTATCATGTGATTTCATTCATATTTTATGCTATCTGCAGAGCACGGCATGACATGGTGGGTTCTGCTGTGTCTTAAAAGCAGCCTCATATATCACCCAGCCAAGAGATTATTTGAACTTCCTAGAAGAAGTAGTTAAATTTGACCACCGTCTTAAATTCAAGGATGTCAGGAAAAAAAACTGCAGTCTGCAGCTCTGTCTTAAAGAACAGAGTGCTAAGGCTTCACTTCTAGTGCTTTAAAGCCACTGTCCTGCAGCTATTGTGCAAGACAGTTTCAACATACCTAAAATAAACTAATAAATCATTAGCAAGCCTCCGCAAAACTGCATAGGATGCTGAGGAAGCATTTCAGATATTTTATTAAATTAAAGTTCAAGGAAGGTGTCTCTTAAAGACAGAGCTGGGTGATCAGTGTTGCAAACCACTTTAATCAATTTTAGTAAAATTTAAAATTCATAGTTCTTAATTTTTTAGAAGGCAATAGACAAAATATAGTTGATTTCTGTCAAATCCGGTGACATTGTTTAGATTTTTTTTAATTTATTTTAATTTTAAAGCAAAATTTGCTTTTTCTTTGGTTAATGGCAGGAAGGAGATTTTTATTAATTCTGCAAATATTGAATGCAATGAATTGCAATGAAATGTCCTCCCCAAGAAAAACCTCTTTATATACTCAAACCTTCTTTGTTTTGCAAACCAAACTGTCCGACACAAATTATTGCTGGGTCTGGACAGCTTACTGAGCATTTGGAGCCGTTGGAACATCAGACCTCCCCTCCAGGCGACACTGACAGTGTTCACTTCCAAAACAGTGTCAAGGGGAAATGTTGCGGAGCCACAGCAGCGCACAAGCCTGACGAATCGTAGCAGCACCACAAAGCAGACATTAACAGCAATTACATGCAGATGAAAACATTTCTGCTCCCACCAGTGGAGCTTGTTGCTGCTGGGTGGATGTTAATGTTGTTGCTTTACTTGTTTAAAACCCTAATTCACAGGGGAGGTTTAATTTGTGATAAATGCACAAAAATGAACATTGAAAAGACCTTTATTTCATCTGCAATGTAGATGGTTTTAGTTACAGAAGAACTGAGGCAGATATCTCGCACGAGGAAAGGACTAAACACCAAACAAATCATTTGTTTGATGCTGTTCATGAGCTAAAATTATGCCGGTGTGTTTAAATCAATGCTTATTAATCTACCTATAACTTAACTTAACCAATTATTCTGGGTTCAGTGGACGTAAAGTGGAAACTCAATCTTGAATTGTAACCAAAGAGCCCGCCATTTCTGTTTACATGGAGAGATGTCTGAGTTTGTATTCTGTGTCTTGAAGAGTTTGTGCCAGCGCAGCTGTTGAAGGTTCCTTGTTCACTAAAGCAACAACTAATCACCTTGTGAATAAATTCTCTTTAATCTGCAGTTAGGAGAGAGTTATTTATGTATGACAAAGGCAAAAGGAAGATTTGAGCAATAAATGTTAATGCAAAGATCTCAATAAAATGGATGAAAGTATAGCTTCTGTTTGACAAACAAGTAGTATATCACTGTTAATCTGTGTATTTGATTCAAAGCTCATTTCCAAAACTTTGTTTTTTTAAAGTGTTATGTTACATTCATAGAAGCTCTGAGTATTTGTCACAACTTATTCACATAACTTATTCAGTGATTATAATAGGAATAAAACTAGTTTTATCACGGTTATAATTCACAAGTCTGTTCCCCCAAGTTAAGTTCTGAACATATTTTGTTATTTCAACATAAGAAAATGTGTATAACATTAAAATGTGACATTAAGGAACATAATAGTGCATCATTACACCACTGCAGTAATCACTCCTAAATTTTCATGTCAGACAAAAGAAGCAGCAATCAGAATTGCAGGGTCTTGAAAGAATAAGTTTTAATTTTCTCTTTTTCTTTTCAGAAAATGGTTTCTAATAACAAAGGGTTTGCAAAAAAAATGTGGTCAAATCTACAAAATATTTTTCTCCACTCAAACAGTTGTATAGCTATTTTAGCCTTCACCCATCCATCTATTGTCTATACCGGTTTATATTTGTAAGTGAGGCTACACTATTGGGTGGGAGTTAGGCTGCACATTGGACCGGTCGCCAGACGACACAGGAAAACAATTATGCTGACACACACTCTGACCTGGAGGACAATTTCAAGAAACTAATAGATGTAACAGTGATGATTGTGTGCAGTGTGAAGAATCCATTCCCAGACAGAGCACATGCATGCATGAGAAGAACATGCAAAAGACACTAGATCCCCAACACCATCAACTGTGCCACTGTGCAGCCCTTTATGTTTGCCTCAGCAACAAAATGATATTGGAAGATTGCACTCTGTTTTCTATAAAAGATCACCAAAATCACCAATTAATTATGACATAAAGATAATATTTTATTTAAAAAATGAACGTAGCCTTGATTTTATTGTCTCACATCTGCATAGACCCTGTTTATTTTGTTGACCAGGCTAACATTTACTCAAAGCTATATTAAAATGGATGCCAATATAATATTATATTTGTTATATTTGTTTCTAGGTTAGTTTGTATTAAAGCTTACTGTGTACATTACCCAAAATAACTTTATGATGTATGTGCTAAAATATAGAACAACAGTGCTGCTTTCACAGCTACTTTTTTTTTTCTCTCCCTTCCTACATCTGGCTACCTTAGACTGTATTACAACTTTGGTTTTCTAACCATACATGATGTGGTTTCCAACTAAGTTAGGCTAAAACTAAGTTTTTGGAAAGGTAAAAAAAAATCAGTCACATCGGTGGGCCTTCGAAAAATATAATGTACACTTTAGAAAGTGTACAAACTTCTGATAAAATATAAGGCTTTCGCGATCCAAGAAATATGACACCCTGATACATAATTTCAAAACGTCTAGCCTATTTCAAGTGAAACAACCTAACAAAGTTATTCCAGAAAAATTCAAAAAGCTGCATTAACCTGATTGCATAAATGTGGATAACGCTCACCCCATACTTTGCTGAAGCACCTTTTGATGCAGTGTCAGCATTTTGTATTTTGAGAACACACCAGCCAATAAGGAGGTGAAGACTAAGCGCTTGATCAGTCAGACAACTTCGACTGTGCTGCTGCTTCACACAAAAACTTTCACACAGTGCAGAATAACTCTAGCACAGTCTAACATTTGGGGACTCTATCTTTCATGCACTGTTTCTGCTTTCCTGCTGCTGTCTGCCTCTGCTTGTTACTTTTCAGACCTTTTCCCACCCCATCAACCCTTTTGAACTGTGAGGTCAGAGACCTCACTTCCTGACATGCAGAAAACATGGAACTAACAGGGAATAAAAATGTGTTAATCACTAGCATGTTAAATAGCATGGTTATGGAGTGATAAGGTCAGAGTCTATATGCTAAACTCAAGCTTCTACTTTATTGACTAATTATGTTCATGTAAAACTTGTCAGTTTGAAAAATTTAATGACCAAGAAATAAGGCTAATGTGTTGCAATAAGGTTTTATTAATGTTTCCATATGTGGATGTTTTATCTGAAGCCATAGTTTGCAAAGAGGAGTAGAATAGGATCCGTAGGATTTAATTGCACAATGTATCAGTCATGAAAGGCAGGCACCCAGGAGGCAGGCAGGAACACTGATGGAGTTGAATTGCCTTTCCAACTAGGTGTGTTCGACAGTTGACAACAACCTCTTTTATACTCCCTATGTCTCAGCAAATGGAGTTTAGCTACAAGAAAGGAGGATTTTATTTCAAAGAAAACATTCAGGCCCTGCTAAAATCTCAAGTTCTTGTGGGAGAATGGGTTATGCTCCAGAGGTGCCAAAGTTTTCTTTATAGCCACCATTCCAAATTGTGAGTTTCATGTGGTATATCTCACCAAAATAACATATCAACCCAAATAAAATAGTGTGGCAGTAGCGTCACCCTCTGGGTTTATTACTTCTCAAAGGTAACTGACGTTGGTTGAAGAAAAAAACCATTGTTGTTTGTGTCCATATACGAATAACTCCCAGAGAGGAGACCTAAAGTTTTGAAATGGCCTACCTGACGTCCAGAACTAATGTGAGAGAAAATCTGTGGAGTCACCTGAAAAAGAAAAGTAAAATAATACAATCAAAAAGTGCAATACTGATAAACTCCTTTCATTGGAAAATGCAACCAAATGATGAGTCAGCAAAGTATTAGTTAAAGGGTGTCCACACTTAGTCAATGAGGTTATTTTAATTAGTTTTCCATCTAACACAATTTTGTTTTATAACTGGAATGTACAGGACATACGAAATATATATACCACATAGATGTCACTAACGGTATTACTGCTACAAAATGTGGCTAAATATAATTCAAACAATTCAATAACTAACTATCATCAATTAGTTCACACTACACTATAGAGGAGCTCTGTTTGCACTGATGAAGAGTCACTCTCCCCAACATGTTGAATATTTGGAGTGCTTAACTTGGCAGCAGAGTTTAACTTGTTCTCTATTTAGTTATTTGATCACTTGGTGATGATACTCATAGACTCAGTGGATTCAAACATCATTGTTTATTTCAAGTACTCTGACATGTTCTTAGAGTAGAACATGACTTTCTACTGATAGTTGCTAAAACAAAATCTGCTGTGTACTTCTGTTTTGTATGTTTCTGTACATCTAAAGGACATCTCTCGGTGTTATGTTTGACATCTTTCAAATAATCTTTGTTCAAACCCTTGGACTTTTTAACCACGGATATCAGCCTCACCTTGAGTTTCTATGGTTTTCACGTCTGGCTTTGTCAGTCTGGAAATGACGTGTCACACACATCATTACCATGACAACTAATGTCTTCTGATATAAATGTGACTGTGCGCACAAGCCAAAACCATTCGATGGTGTGCAGACATTTGGATTTCTATCTGAAAATAGCAGCAGATGATGCTGCATGACATGACTGATGTGGATGAGCACATCACTTCATGAATCCAAGCAGAACGTGGTGCAGCTAAACGGCAGTATTAAGATGAATCTCTGTTAGGAGGTGATAAATGAAGCTTTCAGAGCATCCTGATTTGTTTCTGTTTCCCTTCCTCAACCTGCCAGAATCAGACAGAATCTGCTTTAAAAGGCCAGTAATCTGCTTGAAAAAGGAAAATACTGCAATTGCAGCTGGACCTATCATGGCTGTCTTGCAGGTTTTTTTTTTTTTTTTTTTTTTTTTTTCATTTTCTGGATACATATCAAAACAATGTGGCATTTCAAAATGCTCCCAATATGACTAGAGCTGTCTCCTGAACACATGGGCTATCTTGAACAAACAAGTTATTTTTAACTTGTTATTTATAGGCAACCCAGGTTGTCCTGTTGAAACAGACTCTGTGAGGAGACAGAAATAAAAACTCCACTCCGCTATGGACCATTAAGGAATAAGACATACATATACAGGACAAGGCAATGTGCTTTTGTTTGTTGATATTGTTGTACTTTCCAAAAGTTATTTTGCAGTTTTGTGCTTTAGTGTCATCATACTCTTGAAATTAGATTTAAATCATTTAAGAATTCGGCAAATATGAAAAAAAAAATTTTCATATCTTGATATTTAAAACTCTAAACCTGAAGGACCTCAATTTTTTCTAGTCTTAGTCATGTTTGTAGTTATTATTATTCTATTTTAATAAGGTCATGTTTTCCTGAAATGGACTAAATATATTTGTAGACAGTTCAAGTCGATTAATATGTCCTTATAATATTGCTGTTCATAGTCTTACTCATTTTAACCGAGGGTAAAATGAAGATGAATGCTTACTCAGTGTTTCAAATATAGACATCTGCTGACAGTCTCGCCCAGCTTTGGCTTTTTGTGACCGCAAAAAACTGAGAAATATGGTTCCTGGGAGGCAAGAGGAAGATAAGCTACCATACTGTCAGCCAGTATTAATCCTAAACTTTATCATCCCCAATAAAGCAAAATCCTTTATACAGCATAATCTTCATGAAGAGCAAAAAATGTAGAGGTGCAGAGATGAGGCAGAAGAAGGGCAAAAAAACCCTTCTTTAAATTATATTAACTTAGTTTTCAAGTAAAAAAAAAAACTTGAGCATCTCTGCCAGATATCTGAATTTTAAATCTACATTAGAAGATTACTGGTTTCCAATTTGTCCCCAGGTATCCAAGGACACCACGAAGTGATTTAACACAGGGGCCATTCAGGCTTCCCATCAGTTCTCAGTATATTTCTGTCTCAAATCAACAAAACGTGCTCCCAGGAACAGCATTTCTCTTCCTTTTTTTCCCAGCTGTGTCCGCCTCTCACTGGCACAACATCCATCTTCTGATTTGTATGGGGAGACTGGCATCAGCAGAGAGGGATGAGCACTGATGTGTGGGATGAGCTGTGTGAGGAATATCACACTGAACCATGTCAGTCAGGGTAAAACGCAGACCACCGGCATGTCAAACAACCACATCTAGGGAATTTAAATCCATAAATGCGTCTCTGTTGGAAGCTCCTGCTTTGGTATGGAGCCCGGCTCCTGCCTACCACCTGGAAGCTTGAATAGGCTTCCTTAAACACCGATATTTTGATATAAGTTATATTGTTTTTGGTGCTTTTATTCGTCGTACAATCCTTTGGGGTTTTGTTTGAATAATTGAATAATTGATATCAATGCTGAATTGTTTCTACATTTCTACTTTTTTTTCTGAAATATGTCATTCCACTGATTACAAGGTCAGGTTTTTAGGTTGAACACTGTCAATAATAAATATTGGAAGTTCTGATTAATCATAATCAAATATCGGATAAGAAGAACTTTGACATGTGACAACAAGCTTTCAGAAAAAAAATAAATGAATAAAAAAATAAAAACTTTTGTCCTACACAAAAAACGAGGTCATAATTTCATTTTGAATTTTCAGAGACGAGGTGGCTAGTTGAACTAGTTGATTTTCATTCATCAGTATTTATGATGAATTATTATGTTACTGATTATGTTACTTAATCAGTAACATAATAAAACATATTTTATTATTTAAGCAAAGCAAAATCAACCTTAAATTAAATTCAGTTGCATGTTTTGGTTTAAAGTAATCTTGACTATTATTAAGAAGTGTCTTATGGATGTGAGTATAAATGCCTTAGCAGTTGAGCTCCAACTTCAATCTGATGACAATTGCATTCTTTGAAAAAATAAATCTTATTAAAAAAAAAAACATTGATGCTTGTCAAAATTTCAAAAAAGCATTTGATTGCTGATTATGGACTTTGGAGAGCAAAACAAAACAAAAATATTTATTTACATTTCACTTCTTCATTGGATTCTCAACAGAATCTTAAGATTCCTTAATAAAGCCTTAAGAATTGTTTGTCAAAACCTTTTTAAAAGATCACCTAAAAAAATCCAAACTGCGTGGAAACAAAAGAGGAAATGAATGGTAACTGAGGACTTTCGCACCGAACGGTAGAACAATGCACTTGAAGTATTTAAATCAAACAGGACACACAATCACAAAGAAAATAAATTTTTGAGGTAGTTACTTCCATTTCTATTTCTTGTGAAAAGATTCAACCTCGATCATATTAACAGAGCCCCATCAAACCTTCCATGATCCAGATTGTTTTCATCTGACACCATAATTAAAGAAATAAAAAGAAGACACTTCCTTTGGCTGCTTGCCGTGATTCAACAAATTACACTGGATCATATTCGCTACATGGGACCTACATTTACATTTTCAGGAGCGCAGGATGTCCCACAGGATGAGGGGAGGCCAGCCTTGGCTGACCCGACCTTGCGCAGCTCTGCCAGTCTGCGAGCGGCAGTGCAGGCAAAGGGCTCTTCAGTGTACGTTGCATTTATGTGAGAGGAGGTCTCGAGGGCAAAGGTTTGGATTAATTCTGTTTGTTGGCAACCGTGGGTACTTGAAGACCTTGCAGTCATTACTCATTGGTTTGGTCAATTCTGCCAATAATGAATTATTTAAAGGAATGAGAATGCTGAAGGATGATAAAAACTGTACGAAAACAGCAATTTCAAACACAAAGGATTCTTAACCTTTTGGTTTAGTGCCTCCCTCTCTATGGTATATCTAATTTTGTCTGCAAATTACAAAATTAAATAAGAATGAAAGCACAAATGAAGAAAAACCTAAACACAAACCAGGCTTCATATTTAACTGCTAAAAAAATAGCATTAAAGCATGATTGGATCCATAAACTCCATCAATATTCATTCATCTTAATTAAAGTGGATGATGATGGAATATTACAATCTGAATCAATGTGTAAAACAAAAATACCTCCTTCAAATATTTTCAAAGCAGCCACGATTGCTCTGCTTGAATTCCTTACCAAGTCGTAAAAATGGAACAATTATTTTCTTATTAATGAATTTGGTTCCTGTGGAAAATAAAGGATTTTATGTTCTTTTGGATGTGGAGTCACTGATGGTTTGAATAACCACAACACAATTATCCCTGGGCTGATGTTGCAGTGGCGATAATGTTTGTTTGTTCGTACATTTGTGGGGCAGGGACACTAAGTAAGATTCACAACGTTTCAGAAAGAGTAAAATCTATTGAGATCTGCCTACATGTATAACTTTGGTCTTTTGAAAATCCACCATAACTTCAAATTTCTGCCCAGCTGATTTATCTGACATTCATGCCCATGAAGAGTGGATATGAACTACTGAGCTCAACTCTTATTTTTTTTTCTCCAATTGCCTCATTCTCAACTCCACTGGGATTGGATCATAATGATGTAGATGCAGAAGCAAGTGAATTACCCTCTCTCATCACCATACTTTCATCATTCAGCATTTTTTCCCACAGAATCAGCGAAGGGAGAGTTCCCAACTGAATCAAGAAGCAGGTATAACATGGTCGTCTGGCACAGAGCACTGCAGACGTAGTCCACAAATGCAAACCATACACCTCCAAAATCTGGGAGTTGATCTAACGTTCGTCACATTATGGTGGTGATGAGGTCAGCTGTGTCAGACAGGCTATCAGAATTTCTGGCTGGGGGAGGATTTTCCATTCTTGGAGAATCATTGTGTCTTAAGAGGTAACCTAAAAACTCATTATCTCAATTCTTATCTTTTTTTTTTTACTTTCATGCCACATAATAAAAACTTGTGAGGTTAAAATGATACTATCTGGAAGCCAGGAAACTATCTGCCAGTGAATAATGTCAGAGGAGTCTTTTCCACTGGCTCTAAATGAAAATTCTCCCATCCCCCCAAAAAAGTGTAAGACCCTCCGGTGCATTCAAATCAAAATAAGCCGACATACATAGTTAAAAGAGCACATGTGTCTCCATTTGCAGTTATTTTTTTTTTCTCATGTGTAATATGACATTGTTCTGACTGCCATCAACGCAGCATTTAAAGAAAGAAGAAACTCATTTCAGAGCAAATCAGCTCTTCGATTGTATGTTTTCTGTTCTTGTAGAGATGTACTGTGAAACAAAAAAAAAGTCATGACTCATTTCTCATTTTAGCAGCCGTAGTTTTCCTTTGGCTGCTAAAACAGCAAGTCAATTTGATTGTTAAAGACTCATCAAATACAAGATGATAAACATGGCATTCTAGTGACATGACAAAAACAAATTTTCATAAAACTGTCTCAGAACATTATGCAGTAAAAATAAATGTATCACACTTAAACAGAAAACTTTAGAGAAATTTTGCAGAGTTTACTCACCAGTGCACTGCTAATGTTTGTGCTAATATTAATGCACTGCCTTCTGATTTTTAAAAATCAGATGTTTAATTTGTGGCACTTTGTTACCAGAAAAACACACTCATCTCTTAGCAACAGATTAACAACAAATATTGTTATTGTTCAAACAACATAAGATTTCTTTTGCACTTATGAAATAATACTTATCTCACCCTACTTAAAAAAAGAACTGTGCGGCTGCTGAATTTTTCAGAAAATTGAAAATGTGTTGGGTTTTTTTTTTGTCATTGGCAATAACTATGTTATTACAGACATTCAACACCAACGTAAAAATCTGATCAAAGTAAAATGTGGCAGTTCGTTACCAGAAAAAAAATGCTTGTCTCTTAACACCAAATTAATAACAAGTAATTTTATTGTCTATAATACATTAGCTCTATTGAAGACTAATATGTGTCTAAGCCTATCTGCTTAGACACATCAAATTTACATTAAATATCAGATGTTTACTTCAGAGATGTTTACTCATCTCTTAGCAACAAATTAACAACAAATCTTGTTATGTTAAAAAAAACAACATTTATTCTGCTCTTTTGAAATACTGCTTATCTTATGCTACTTACTACTTGACAAGAATTGTGCAATTGGTGAATTTTGCAGGAAAGGGGAAAGGTTATTTTTGTTATAATTATATTGTAAAACAAACTTTCAACGCCAAAGTAAAAATGTAATTTATACTTTGTGGCAGTTCGTTACCAGAAAAAACAAAATGCTCATCTCTTAATACTAAGTTAATAACAATACTGTTGTTTATAAAACATAAGGTCTTTTAAAAAAAAAGTACAAACCAGATGTACCCCGCCTCTCACCTGTCGACCGCAATGGGATAAGGGTGTAAAATGGATGGATGGATGGAAAATCAGATGTTTACTTTGTGGTATTTGGTTATCAGAAGTTTATTCTTGTCTCTTAGCAACCAATTAACAAGAAATATTGTTATTGTTCAAAAATCGTAAGATTTATTCTGCTCTTTTGAAATACCGCTTATCTTATACTACTCACTACTTAACAAGAATTGTGCAATTGGGGAATTTTGCAGAAAAGTATGGTACTCTCTTAGCTACTTGAGCTAGGATAGTAAATGTTCTATGTTATTTTTTAATGGCTAAATGGCTACACTATATGACTGCTGATATACAGATAAACTTGGTTTGAAATTACCACCAGAATACCGACTTGTCAACATTTGCATTTTCAGCACTGACTTCTTTGGCTACATTGAAAGTGAAATAAGTGATTAAACTTCTTGCATGCATGAAGAAAACTTTGTTTCTCTAACCAGTCAAGCAAGAGCACAACAGAGTCTTTATGGGTATTATTCTGCAGATTTACATAATTGCTTCTGTTTAGAGTGAAACCAAAAGTGACAGATGAGTTTTAGAAACCTCAGTGAAGCTAATTCAAAGTCATTAGGATAAATGAAAATTGACAGAATAGCAATAGTGGGTATAGCATTTCTGGTATTCTAAATAAATCTAGTATGCTGAAGCAGAATAAAGGTGAAAGGCTTTTAGAAGCAGAAAAAACTTCAGAACTTAAGGCCTCGGTTTGTTGTCTATGAAGAAGTTGAACAGATAGTCTTTGGCTGTGTCCAAGACTTGTACACACAGCTGTGTTAGTCTTTCTATATATTGCTCAACAAGACTAGAACTCATTTTCCATCTTCTGTAGAAGCATGTGCCATGACAATAGACTCTCTGCTCAGCCGCAGTGCAGGCAATTTTCCACACAATGCTTCATATGATGCCTTCGAGGATGACAATGCAGAGAAGGAACCTGTACGCTTTCAGACACCGCTGTGCCTCACCGAAAACAACTTATTACTACAACACATGATTCAGACAGGATCTGCAGTGTTTTCAAAAACAGAACAAACACATTTCTGATGTTTGTCATGTGTGAGAGACAAAATGTGTGTCTTTGGGGCTGAAAACATGAGTGGAGAACTTATTTTATGGGAATTATTTTTGCAGACAGAGATTAAAAGAAAGCTGTTCTCAAACTGAAACTGAAGTAGTGTTTGGATTTTGTTCTTACAAAATTACATTTCCAACATATGATGGTAACTAAGAATGATGAAGAACTCAAAATTATTTTAAACAGATAGAATATTATGTACCTGTAAAATTTTGATTTCAGATCAACGCTTTTTGTCAGTATTATAAATTTACGTTTACCTCCTCCTGGGCAGCAAACAGCTCACAGACGTCACAGTGGAGCAGTTGATGAATATTAAAGGAACTGATATATCCCTGGGAGGCTTATGAGAAAAAAAGAATAAAATACTCATGTAAATGTTTGCAGACGACACAGCAAAGATTTGGAATGAGCAAATCAAATTGTGACACTTCTGAGTTCCAGAACAGAAAGTCCATAACTTCATATTGTTATTGTTGTCAGAGTGAAGTTAGATAGACTTTACCAGGGTCTTGAAGCTACAGAACGTAACTTTTGTGAAGAATATATTTTCTGCATATTTGTTAAACGTGCCACCATGTTTTGATAATATGTTTTGAGTGTCAAAGATTAAGGAGGCAAGGGGGGAGAGGATCAATGGCTCCATACGAGATTGTGACTCAAGGGAGTGGGGGAAAAAAAGCGATGAAAAGCCTTTTTCGTAAGCAGTAACTTTTGCCATGTCTTTTTTGAATATTTTTTTTTATTATACTTCCTGTAAAAGATAGTTGTCAGTGACCACATCATCCACAGCTCCTCTGGGAGTTCGTGTGTCTCAAGGGCCTTCCTGTAATCACTGGTGTCGATGTGGGGGCAACGCACAAGGCGATCATCGCTGTCCCTGCCGAATGCTTGACCTGACCTCCTCACAGAGCTCTTCATCATGAACATCACTCCAGCTGGCATCAAATTATCCCTTCTCACAAAGCTACAAGCCATCCAGACACTGCCATGTTCGGCGGCTGACAAACTGCAGTCGCCTTTGCATAATGATAAAATTGAGTAGCTTAATCACTTCAAACTGTGATTTTAATTGACTGTTAGACTGACATGCCTGGAGTAAGTAAAGCTTATGCTTATGGAAAAAATGATGAAAGACTGACCAGAAACTTAAAATACAGAGGACATGTAAGGCAAAGAAAAAGTTATTTAGCCATGCAGAGTTATTTTGTTTCAGTCAAATTAAATATGTATGATTTCCTTGAGTCAAAAGGGATAGCATTTACTGTCAGAATTACATTTTTATATTAAATATACAAGGATTATTTCCTCAAGCATGCAGTCAAAACTGTTCGGATCACTTATAGAAACTTTCTATTTAACTGCTTCCTCTTCTTCCTTGCAGAAGTAATCATATTGCTTGAAGTGTCTCATAGTTTGTCACCTTAAATGCACAAATTTCAATGTATTTAATGTAATTAACCATCTGTAAATCTTAATTGTAAAAAGAAAACAAGATAGATTTCAACCCTGATGTCCATTTATATTCAGCCTTTTCACCCTGATACCTCTAATAAACTTCAGTGCAACTAACTAGCTTCAAAAGTAGCCTAGTTATCCATTATGCCCATAAAATCACGCTGGTTGTGTTAATGCCTTAGAGGTTTACTTAAAGTACAACACTAAACAAACTGAATCTGGCATCAGCACCTTTATGGAAGCTGTAGAAAGCTATGATAAGTCCTGGTTGCCACAAACAACTTAAGGTATCATGTAGAGAAAATAGGGCAAGATGTATAAAGCTGGGAGCGACAAAACCCAAAAGACATGCAAGTGTGATTGTGGCATCTATAAAGCGTCGACACAGGGGACTGAGTCAATACCCTTTCAGATTTTAAAAAGAAGAAGAAAACTGTTTTATTTTTCTTCTACTTGCTTTTTTGTTGGTCTATCATACAATTTAGACAATCTCAAGGGACATCAATACTTTGAGTGACCGTGTGAGAATTGACTTGCACAGCATTTCACATGAAAACAGCAAAATTCCAAATGAACTCATGGCGATAGATGTGCAATTTATTGTCAACATAAAATCAGTTCCATTAAAGGAGTGTATAGAGGTCAAAGCTCGAACATGGGAAGCTGAAAAGTAATAGAAATAATCTCTAAACCACTACCATACAGTAACAATGTTACAAAGATCTTTTTTGTATGTAAAATTTGTAAATTTGTCTTTCCTCACAGTTCTCCATGTCAACACAAACATCTTGCAATAAATAAAAATGATGGTATTGCCACAATATAAAAGCAGAATTTTAGGAGAAAGCATGTGTATGTTTCTTTGGAATGTTTTTTTTTTTTGTCCAATGTTTAAATGAGAAAGAAACATTTTGGTTCAGTGTGTGCAGAGCAAAGCCTTTTTTAAAGGCTTGCAAAATTATAACAAAAAATTAGAATTTATGAAAACAGCAGTAGTTTAGTAAACAGTGTTCCTGAATTTGCAGTGTAATGGGAATCTGATAATCAGCAGTTTTTCTCATCTCTGTTCTGTTCACAAACACTTTCACAGATTCCGAGTAAACTTCAGCAGTCGGCAAGAAACCAATATATCCAGGCGCTATCAGGATCTGAAATAAATTCTGGGGCAGTATTTTTTTTTTTTTTTTACAGTTATACAAAACCCATTAAAACGATAAAGTATTTCATCACGACAATATACCTCTCCTAAATTTGTTTCCTAGCTCTGATAGTTTCTTCTATTTTTATTAAACACAGATATGCTCAAAGGAAGAAGGTGTCTGTTTAAAAAAAAGGACAACAAATTATTCAGCAGCTTGTGAACCAAATTTTAGCAGAAATAGCTGAGTATCCATCATCTATCTGACTATTATTTATAAGTACATTGTAATGATGTGTGCCCACTTCTCTTTCCAATATTGCTTGAGTATTTTTTTGTTGTTTACATTTAAACACAGATGATAAAATGATTAAGAAAAAGAACATTTGTTGATAAATGAGAAATTAAAATAAGATATTTTATCCTTCATTAAATAGAGCCCAGTGTGTGCTGTCACGGCTCCAAGCTTTCTTGATCCTTTTCCATGAAAATGTGGAATGTTCTCACATATCCACCGGTCTTTAAGTTTTATGTCAAGGCAAATATTTGCCAGTAAAACCCAATTAAACCCAGAGCTGGCTGTAGAGCTTTGGTATATTTTATGTGTATTTAAATAGATTATGAAAGGTCAGAGAATCAGAAATAAGTCTCATGCAAATTAAAAATCAAACAGACTGACAAACAATACTCAGACTCAGATTTCACATTCAAACATTCAAACCTGACTTCTGGATATGAATGAAAGTCCAGAACAATTACAGAGCCAATCCAATTGCTACATTCACTTCAACTAAAACACAAATTGCACTTTAAGTTTGTCTCATTAAGGAACTCTAATTTGTGATTGTAAAATGCAATAGGCACTTTAACTTTCTAAGAAATCTTAAATGTAACTTAACCATCTTAATTATTTTTTATGCCTCAATAAATAAAAGTGACTTGCTTTACGCACAAGAATAAACAAAGTAATTAAGCTGAAATGAAAGTGCACCAAATCTCAGTAACATCAAAGTAATTGATGAAGCACAAACAAATACCAAGAAATAATTTAGTGTGGAAAAATGCTCTGTCTACTTTTAACAAGGTGCCTAAACCTTGAAAATGATCAATTTATTTTTTGTATCATATTTAACTTACAAAGTTAAATATTTCTTACCAAATTATTATTATTATTTTTTTTTACATAACAGTTCAAGTTAATTTGGTTTTACAAAAAACTTTTGAACAGCACGTTACTTAAATTATGCATAGTTTTATTATTTACCCCTAAATTAGGGACTTGAGACAACAGAAAGTGAAGGTTCACATGTCTCACTCAGAAACTCTGTACAGGGAGGACCTTGTCTCATCTCTTTGAGAGACTGGTTGA